ACCCCCGTACCTGTGCGCCCCATCCCAGCGAGCGCACCCCATACCCGTGCGCCCCGTCCCAGTGAGCGCACCTCCATACCCGTGCGCCCCGTCCCAACGAGCGCACCCCCATACCCGTGCGCCGCGTCCCAACGAGCGCGCACCTATACCAGTGCGCATCCCTGTACCCGTGCGTATCCCCCGTACCTGTGCCCTACCCCCCACTCCGCCATACCTGTGAGCCCCCGTCCCAGCGAGCGCACCCCCCCCATGCCTGGATCCCAGCGAGCACACCCCATATATGTGCGCACCCCCGTACCTGTGCGCCCCATCCCAGCGAGCGCACCCCATACCCGTGCGCCCCGTCCCAGCGAGCGCACCCCCATACCCGTGCGCCCCGTCCCAGCGAGCGCACCCCATACCCGTGCGCCGCGTCCCAGCGAGCGCGCACCTATACCAGTGCGCACCCCTGTACCCGTGCGTCTCGGCCCCACCGAGCCCTGCCCTCCCCTGTACCTGTGCCCCACCCCCCACCCCGCCATACCTGTGCGCCAGCTGCCACCGCGCGCCCGTCTGCCAGGCGCACTGCACAAGGAGGCGCTGGACCCGGGCTCGAGTCCCGGGCCGCCCCGGGGAGCCGGGGAGGAGCGCAGGGAGAAAGGAGCCCATTGGCCTCGAGCTCCCGCGGCCCGCCCCAGCTCCAGCCACGGGCCACGCCCCGGGGGAGGGGCAGCGGCGAGGGCGGGCACCGAGCGGTCCAGAGACCAGGACACTCGGTGGGCTCTGGGGTGCGGCGCATCCTGACGCAGTCACCTCTCATCCCCAGTAACTCACCAGATGACAACGCTCTCCTACCCCCACCCCCGAGAGAGGGGGGGGGAAGAGGGAGAGAGAGAGGAAGAGAGAGAAAGGGAGAGAGGGAGAGAGAGAGGGAGAGAGAAGGAGGGAAGGAGAGATAGAAAGAGGGGGGAGGCTCCTGGGAGACAAAAGGCCCTTGTGAAGGAAATGCAGTCATCTTGCCCACATCCACCCCATCTCGGCCCTCACTGGCATCTTCATTGCAGAATGACTCGGATCCCAAAGGGCTCCCAAGTCTTCAGCCCTAAGCCAAGAGCCAGGTACCTCGGTGCCAGAAGGACCAAGGCCCGGTGGTGGGGGGATGGGGCGGGACCCAGAGACCAGGTAGCTTTTAGGAGCCCTGCCTGCAGCTGTCCCCCTTTTTCCTGTCCACTCCCAGTGTTAGCCTCGACCAAGATTACAGGTCCCAATAAATACAGGATTCGTCGCAAACATAACAGAATTTCCTCCTGGTAAATAACAGGGCAGAACCCAGGCACCTATAGAGGATGGAGCATGGTGAAACTGAGTAAACCGGAGTCCCTGCCATTGCGAGGGCAAATTAATGCAGCCTTTCCTGGATCAGGTTAGGCAGGATGAGTTAAGATCCTTAAATGCGAGCCACACAAGTGCCCGTGGCTCAGGCCTTAATCCTAGCTACTCAGGAGGCTTAGATCTGAAAATCAGTTTGACGCCAGGCAGGCAGGAAAGCCCATGAGCTATGGCTTAAGTGGTAGAGCATCAGACCTTGAGCACAAAAGCTATGGGACAGTGTCCCAAGCCCTTGAGTTCAAGCCCCAGCATTGGCACCAAAACAAGAACAATCTCATGGCCATATGCTTTTTGAATTAGTAATTCCTTTCTAGGATATCTTAAAGAAATAAACCAGCAATAAGGCTTTATACTCAAAGTTCACAGCTAAAAAAGAAATGCACAAAAGATTACAAGGATAAGTTCTAGAATATCCATATAATGGATTCAGACAACTAGTTTTGTTTGTTTTTTGGTTGTGGGGCTTGAACTCATGGCTTGGGTGCTGTCCCTGAGCTCTTTTGCTCAAAGCTAAGCACTTACCACTTTGAGCCACAGTGAAACTTCTGGTTTTCTGGTGGTTTACTGGAGATAAGAGTCTCACAGACCAGGCACTGGTGGCTCATGCTTGTAATCCTAACTACTTAGGAGGCTGAGATCTGAGGACTGTGGTTCAAAGTCAGTCGGGTAGAAAAGCCTCTGTGAGACTCTTAAGTCCAATTAACCACTCAAAAACCATTAGTGGAGCTGTGGCTCAAGTAGTAGCGCTCTAGCCTTGAGCAAAAAAAGAATTCAAGAGGGGCTGGAAAGGTGGCTCAGTGGTAGAGCGTTTGCCATGCATGCATGAGGCCCTGGGTTTGATTCCTCAGCACCACATAAGCAAGAAGAAAAAAAGCTGGAAGTGGCGCTGTGGCTCAAGTGGTAGAGTGTTAGCCTTGAGCTGAAGAGCTGAGGGATAGCGCCCAGGCCCAGGGTTCAGGCCCCATGACAAAAAAAAAAAAAAAAAAAAGTCTCATGGACTTCCCTGGCGGGGCTGGCTATGGACCATGATCCTCAGACCTCAGCCTCCTGAGTAGCTAGGATTCTAAGTGTGAGTCACCAGTGCCTATCACAACTGTTACTTTCTTTCATTTGTGCAATTCATGTTTTTCCCCAGGAGGCAGGTATAACTTACCTTTTATTTTTGTATCAAAAAGATACAAAAACTCTTTCAAAATGTGCAAATGTGAAGAGGACTGGAGAGAGAGAAAAGAATGGAAAAAATAAAATTTTGTGTGTGTCGGACTGGGGCTTGAACTTAGGACATGGGCATTTTCCTTAACTTTTTCACTTGACTAGCACTCTACCTCTTGAGGCACAGCTCCATGTCTGGCTTTTTGGTGGTTAATTAGGGATAAGAGTCTCACAGATTTTCCTTCCCTGCTCTGGCTTTGAACCACAATCCTCAGATCTGTCTCTTGAGTAGCTAGGATTACAGGTGTGAGCCATTAATGGCCAGCAGAAATTTTATTCACCTTATGCAATGGAAACTAAATGGGGCCTCACTTGATTCCAACAGTCTGGTCGTCTGATGATATTAGCAGTCCTCCCTGCCCTCCCTCCAATACCGCAAAATGACTTCCAACTCTCACTAGTTCTGGGTTACAGCCCAGTCACTGGACTCCTGTGTATTTCTCATTTTCAATCTCTTGCATTTTCCTCACTCTGCTATGTGAGTCAGGTTTAGAAGCTACCAACATTTGATCTGAAAATAACTTGGTATTCACCAGACACAGTTGTAATTTTCCAGCCTGTGTCTTCCACTTGCCATGTGGATTCCACTGAAAACTCCCATTTACTTGGGGTTGGACTAGGGGACGTTTGCCAAAGAGCTAACAAAAGCTCCAAGGTTTTGGGCCAGAGCTTTGGCAGAGCCAGGCTGCTGGTGAGGAACTTGGAGAAACACGTGCAACCTTTGGCCTCTCCACTCTCCCCCTTCCCAGCCTCTCCCTCTAAAAAGCCGCAGGCACACTTCCATTTTGGACATTTTAATTACAAAGTTATAAAACACACCATAGATTATTTTTTCATCTAAGTCTCAAGGAATAAAAAACAAATGAGGCATATAGACAGGCCTAAATCTGTATCTGTGTGTGTGTGTTGGTAACTGGGACTTGAACTCAGGTCCCTGTCACTGTCCCTTAGCTTTTCTACTCAAGGGAGACAGCTCTAAATCTTAAAAGATAAAGGAACTATTGTTGCTGCTTGAGTACTTCCGAGTAGCTTTGCTTCCAAAATTTTTATTTTGTTCAGTAGGAAAGAAAGGTGCTTTGGAAATAAGAATTACCTGGGTAAACAGGCACACACTGAAGGCTGTATTTGTGGATGGGTATGACTTATAGGCCCCAGGGGCTAGGTATGTCCTTTCGTACTAAGGACATGGGGGTAGGGGAAGGAATCACGAGGCCAAACATCTGTCCTTCAAGGAGACAGCCTGCTTACTCAGAGCGAGACAGCGTTGCAGGGCTGGTGTTCTGTGAGAACAGAGGCCCATTCTAGCCATCTGGTCTGCAGACACTTGCTTCGTTAGGAGGAGATCTGGGTTCGCTGCCTGTCATTCTAATGGCCAGGCTGGGTGCTCTGGCTAGCAATCCTCTTTGTTCCCTCCTTGTGGCTCGTGTCCTCCTTAAAGCTGCCTCTCTGCTGGGAACCCTGTTCCTTAGTCAAGGGAAATGCAAGTAGCTGGGCTTCGGGCTAGCCCTCCAGATAAACTCTGTGGTTGTCAGGGAGTGGGAGCCAATACCAACAACAAGGCCTCTGTCACCCATACCCTTTCAGGAGGGGGAAGGCGGTCAAGGAGGAGGAGTGGCAAGGGTCCAGACTGTTGGGTGAGGGCCAGAGAGAAAGAACCTGTTGTTAGAGGCCTTATGTCCCCCACTGCTGTGGGGGAGACAGAATGAACCGGCACTGCTGACTCCACTCTCCTGTTCCAGGGGCACAGACACAGGGCAAGAGGCAGGGCAAAGAGCCAGACAGAGTAGGGCCGGGGACAGAGGGCTGTTCAGCTGAGCCGATGACAGCACATGTCTGTTAGATGGGAGGGCAGGTATACAGAGCGCTTTTCCTTAAGGGTTGCCTGCCCACCCCACACAAGCGTTTGGGACCAGCCCCCTCCAATGTCACGCCCCCTTCTAATTCTTCAGTTAAAAGCCTCCACGTTGGAAATCAAAGTTCTGAATGGGAATTGTGGACAGGGGAGGGGCATACTGGGGATTTGCATATTTATCCCCGAACTCTGAAAAGCAGTAGAGTGGCCTACAATAGGGGAAGAGTTGAACAGAGCTGCTCAGTTCAAAGAAAGGAAAAGTCTTTGCTTGACCAGAGATGGGACTCATTCTAAGATGTCCGAACTTGACCTAATTTTCTCCTGAAATTCGAGGATAAGGCAGGAACAAAAACAAACGTGAATTAGAAGCTAGGTGCCAGTGGCTCATGCCTATAATCCTAGCTACTCAGAAGGTTGAGACCTAAAGATTGTGGTGTGAAGTCAACCCCAGCAGGAAAGCCCATGAGACTCATATCTCCAATTAACCACCAAAACAAAAGCGGGAAGTGGAACTGTGGCTCATGTGGTAGAGTGTTAGCCTTGAGCAAAAAATGTCACAGACAGTGCCCAGGTCTAAAGTTCAAGCCCTGGTACCAGCACATACACAAAGGAACCGACAGGCCTTCCCACAAATTGATGGTCTCTTCAGTGCTTAGAATTTGTCTCTGAAGGGGAAAACACACAAGCTCACGGTGTCCAGTAGGCTCTTTTCAGAAGTGTCATAGGACGGCAGCTTGCAGAAGAGAATGAGGTAGCACAATCCGAGGAGTTGTTTAGAGACCGTCTGCTTAGGACAAGTGCTGCTTGTACACCTCTCCCTGGGACACTGATGTCACAGGAATTGTGGTGACCACTTGATTCTGAAACACAAAAACTTTTATTCTTTCGAACACCCAGAGGAAGATTAGCAGGATGCTGACATACTGGACCCAGGCAAACTTGATCATCTCCCAGAAGCCTGGTTGGTAGGTACAGACAGTTAAGGAGGCACAGCCGACATGGAAGCAAGTTATGCTAAGGCTCAGGTCAGATGGGAAATGGCAAGAATTTTTCTAATATCCTTAAGATCAGAGGGATAACCAAAGATTATTAAGGCATAAATATGGATGGTTCTAACCTAAAATTTCCCAGAAAGAAATGTGAACAGGAAATGAACTTTTTTTTCTGAACAGCAGACAGACACCAGGACTGGAACAATTTTCAGTCTCAGGCTGGCATCCCACAGCTGTTCCTACTTGGGATAGCTAAGGATTCCCTTCTTCTTTTTGTGGAAACTGAGCCATCGCTGGCTATCTAACAGAAAGGATATGAAATGACTTCCACGGGGTAGCGAATGACAGCGTTGATCACGAAGGGAGCTTCGCCGGCTCTGCCCACCAGCCAGAGGGGGTTGGGGTCATTCAGGACAGTGGTAACTGCAATACAAGCATTAACGATCGATCCAGCCCATTAATATTAGGGACTAAAGATATCCTTTGATTCTTAAAGGGATCTTCTGCACTTTAGAATGAAAACCATTAAAAGGAAAGAGAGTTTCTTACACATTATTTAAAATATTTGTTACACTATGTCAAAGACTTGCAAATGGTCTGTGTTCTACAACTACTGAACTGCTGGATGCATACTAAGGTGCCAGTGAAAATAATATGGATTAGAACTTTGCAGCAGTCAGGCGGAAACATATCACAGAGTTGAATAAATAAGAACAACTTGGATCCCAAAGCATTTCTAACACTACAATAGCTGTATATAGAGTCAGTATATGGATAAGGAATGAAGGAAGGAAGCCAGGGTCCAGTGGTTCACATCTGTAATCCTCGCTACTCAGGAGAGTGAGATCTGAGGATCCAACCCGGGTAGCAAAGTCTGTGAGACTCTTTGTCTCCAATTAAGCGCTAAAAAAAAGTCAGAAATAGAGCTGTGGCTGAAATGGTAGAGCACTAGTGTTAAGTGAAAAAGTTCAGGGACAGTGCCCAGGTCCTGAGTTCAAGCCTGGTACTGGCACTAAAGGAGGTGAAAAAAAAAAAAAAAGGTGAGGTGGAGCTGAGGTGAAGCTTTGTGCCAGAGCATTTGTCAAGGATGTGGATCGGGTTCCTGCTGCTGCCAGAAAAAAAAAAAGAAAAAGAAAAAAGGAGGAAAGGAGAGAATATAGACTCATGACTTTTCATTTTGTTTAAAACCTTCTATTCCTGGCATATACTGGTACTATATTGCTTAAAATTAGGAAGACCGATGGGCATTATAGGTTTCCTGTTTGTGAAATGTCTGTTTGTAGTACCCAGGAGGTCAGGTGTCCACATACCGATTTTGATGCCTTTGGGGAAAATCTCAGGTCACTCACCAGGCCCAGAGTGTGGAGTCCAGCACTGGTGAGGCCTGTGCACTTTACCTGTGAGGACAGAACTCTGCCTGCAGCCAGAACTGTGGGTGCTTCTGTCCTCCTACTGGATCAATTACCTCCTACATAGATGGGGTGCCTTGTACCCAACTGTTTCTTCTTATCTTTTCAGAGGGAAGTACTGAGGATTGAATCAGGGCTTTGCTCTTGCTCTACACTAGAGCCACACTTTGGTTAACTGAGGCAGAGTCTTGCTTTATGGTCTTGGGTGGCCTGGACTGCGATCCTCCTATTTGTGCTTCCCTACATCACTGGGATGACAGCTATGTGTCATTATTCTCAGCCACTGTGCTTTCCTCGTGTCTGAGAACAGCCGTGGTATTCCACCATACCCAGAGGTGCTGGACACTTGAGAGCTTCTCCC